TATTTTATAGAACCTTTGACTAAATTTTTAATTTCTATACCAATCTTTAAAAAATGAATTTTTAAAAAAATTGAAATTTTGTTTCATTTTACATAAAATGTAAAATATTTTGGAACGGAAAAAAATATTACTTGGTCCGTCCCTGAGTGTTTGTCCACTTTTGACTTTTGGAACTGTTCATCTAAGCACTTTGACTCATCAAATTCTCTCAATGTGTAAGCCAAAAAATAGTCATGTGTGATCTTGTTTGATTCGTCTTAACATATAGATTATTAATATATAATTTTTATAATTTTTTAATATACAAATTACAAGATAAAATGAATTAAAGAAGTGCATTGGATGGTGTGCAAAAATGAAAGTGGACAAACACTCAGGGATGGAGGGAGTATATGTCTAACATGTACTCCCTCCGTCCCGCTATATTTGTCCACTTTTGACTTTTGGAATTGTTCATCTAAGCACTTTGACTCATCAAATTCTCTCAATGTGTAAGCCTAAATATAGTCATGCGTGATTTTGTTTGATTTGTCTTAACATATAGATTATTAATATATAATTTCTATAATTTTTTAATATACAAATTACAAGATAAAATGGATTAAAGAAGTGTATTGGAAGGTGTGCAAAAATGAAAGTGGACCAATATAGTGGGACGGAGGAAGTAAGAAATGAACCCACTCTCATAGAACTCTAGGTCCGCCACTGCTCCATTGAGAGTCGAACCTCTGTGAGCTCCTCATAAATATTGGAGATTGAATTTCCTATCACTCAAGTCAAAAAAGAAACTCGTAACATCGTCGTGACGGTAATGACTCTCATCAAAGTGTCATATTATGGCATTGATTACTTACAACATTACATTAAAAAAATGATGATTTCTATTCCAACCTCCACACAAAGTCTCCGGTCCTTTTCTTCCACCCTTGTCTCTTTTGACAAAAAATTGCTACGGGGTACCCTCAGTTTTGTGATAAGAACTCGCAGGTCCCATTATTTTTCAAAATCTAATCCGGGGTACCTTAAAATTTACAAAAAGTTACTCCGAGGTGACAATCCGTCACTCTCTCCGTCAATCCCTAATTGCCGTTAGCCTTTTCTTCTCCTTCACCATTCTTTCGGCCTTCCTTTTTTTCTTTTTTTTCTTTTTCTTCTCCTCCTTCTACACCCTCCAATCCCATCCAGCCGTCCCTTTTTTCTTCTTCTATTTTTTTCTTTTCTTCTTCTTGTATTAATTATTATTGTTGTTATTATTATTATTAATATTATTATTATAAATGTTGATGTTAGATATTATGGAGTATTATTTTATTATTTGTAAGTATTTGTTATTATTATTATCATTATTTATTTATATATTTATTATTTTTTAAAATAGCAGTTTTACTAAGGCCCCATAAAAAAATTTGTGTGTGCCCCCATTAACTTTTTTTCAATATTCACTTGCGTTAACAAAACTTAAAATATTTTAAAGCTTTACTTGAAAGAAGAAGGAAGAAGAAGAAGAAAAAGAAGAAGAAGAAGAAAGAAAGAAGATGAAGAAAGAAGAAAAGAAACAAGAGGAAGAAGATGGCCGAAAGAATGGTGAAGAAGAAGAAAAAGTTAACGGCAAATGGGAATTGACGGAGAGAGTGACGGATTGTCACCCCGGAGTAACTTTTCCTAAATTTTAAGGTACCCCAGAGTACATTTTGAAAAATAATGGGACCTGCGAGTTCTTATCACAAAACTGAGGGTACCCGGCAGCAATTTTTTGCTCTCTTGATGCCCTCCTTCAAAATTTATTGAAGACTGATGTGTGAAGAGACTTTATGAGAAAGAACCATTCGAAGTTATTAACTGTCATATTATAAGTACATGTACATTCACGCATGGATAATACTATTTGTACTCCAAGAATTTGTACCCCATTTTGTACACCGCATGGATGCATCAACATTTTTTGTTGGTGTAATGTTAGTTTTTGTTAACGCACCAACATTTTGTGTCAGTGTAAATTTTTATTAACGCACCAACACTTTATATCACTGTGAACCATCAAAATGTTGGTGCATACTTTTAGTGTACAAATGAGGTACAAATTTTGGGGTACATATAGCATGCTCGTTCAAGCATACATGATACGGAGTAGACCTGGCAAAATTTGACCCGACCCGTTAGTAATCCGAAACCCGACCCGAAATTCGCGGATTTTGAACATTGATTTTGCGACCCGAACCCGAAGACCCGTTAAATTTTCGGGTCAGAACGGGTTGGGTCGGGTTTGACCCGACGGGTTATGCACTTAATTGTTTATTTTTATTAGTTATTTAGTTTTATATATTCATTTAAAATATGATATACCCATTAGGCTACTCAAAACTCAAAAGGCCATATACATACATACATACATACATACATACATACATACATACATACATACATACATACATACATACATACATACATATATATATATATATATATATATATATATATATGTATATATATATATATGTATATATATGTATATATATATATATGTATATATATATATATATGTTCAAGTGAGAATGCGATCTTATGAAAGAAATAAGAATGAATCTGGTTTTTTAGATTGTGAGATCTAAGGGTCGGGATTGCATCAAAACTAGGTGCACCAAGATGGTTTGAAAATGCATCATTTTGAAATGCACCAAAATCCTTGAAAAATGCACTATCTCAAAATCTGAGTGCAGGATGCAATCTGAGCCGTACGATGCATCCGATCCAAAGGCTAGATTTTATTCTTATTTCTTTCACTAAGGTGGATTCTCACTTGAACTGGACCATATATATATATATATATATATAGTTCTCCCACTCTTCCACCGTACCGTTCGTTGATATTAGATGCCAACTCAATCAAAATGGTGAGAAGACACCAGAACAATAGTGGAATTTTTAATCCTATTTCATCCTCTTCAGTTGCTCCTACGTGTAAGTCAAGTTTTAATTCTTTTGTTTTGGTATGATGCAAGAATTTCAATTTTTTTATAACGTATATATATTTTTGGGTATGTTGAAAGAAACTTCAATTTTTTTCATCTAGTACAATTGTTTTGGTATGCTGCAAAAAGGTAATTTTTTTGGGTATATTGCAATTCTACTTTGGTACGTTGCAAATATAACTGCAAACTTTTATGATTTCGTTCTTTGTTTTGAATAATGCTTGAATCACATGATCTCTAAATAGCAAAATTTTTAATTTTTAAATACGCCTCTTAACCCGTTGGGTCAACCCAAACCCGATAACTCTAGGTCATGAACAAGCACTCTTAGACCCGAACCCGAAGTGACCCGAACCCGATTATACTGAACTCGAACCCGACCTGACCGACCGTTTTACCAGGTCTAATACGGAGTATATCCAATTATCCATTACGTGAAGTTGATCGGGCCCGCTGTCCAGCGTACTATATTGGGTCATTTGGCGAAGATTATATTTTAGCCGCATAAAGATATTGGAGTAATTTGACAAGAATAAACGTGGAATATGCTCATATATAATTATATATAGGGTATATACATATGGGATAAAATAGATAACTCATGAATATGGCTATAAATGGATAATCAAAAATTCGATTAGCGTCCGCATCCGTTTACACTCCTACCCATGAGGTGGGTCTTTTTAAATTTTTATCAAAGGATTTCCGGTTGTCCTACCAAACTTACAATCTTTTTTTCATGTTAGGGAACTTTAAAACATTTAGATTTGGATTTAAGACAAATTTTTCAAATCCATAACAAAGTTTAATTTAAAATCAATAAATGTTTTTTTTTCATTTGAAATTCAAAAAATTAAATTGTAGAATTAAAATGAAATATTAATTTCCAAACACTTCCTTGAGTAAATGCTAAAGTCACAAATATCATATTCATAAACTATATAAACTTGTCATTTGTGCATCTCACCAAGTAAATAAAATATTTTAAAGTAAAATTTGCACTAAATAGGATTAAAACATAAGTTATTTCCTAATGTAAGACTTAAACTTTTTTATTCCTTAAATAGGACTTAATAATGTCTAGTGGAAAAAATAATATTCAGTGATGGTGGACATTTATTTAATAATGACTAATGAATAATGACCAATGGTCCTACATTAGAAAATAAAAATATATGGCAACTTTAGGTAAATTTGCCATTAATCTTATTTAGGTAAATTTTTTTCTATTTTAAATAAATGGAAAATTTATGTAACTTGTGACTCTAGCATTATTCATACTTTTAATATGATTCGTCATTAATATTTTAATATGAAGATTGAATTTTAAATATTATAAATACAACTTTTTTAAGGAATTATAAATACAAATATGAATACAAGAATATTCTGGATAATATTCAGATAGGGAGTAAAAAGAAAAAAAAGAAAAAGAATGGATTCCTTTTTGCTCTCAAACCCTTTCGAACTCCCCCCGCTTTAAAACAAAAGTATAAAAAAAAGTAAATTATATAAAAGGTCCCCAATTATAGGTCGTTTTACATATTTAGTCCCTACATATCAAATATTATTAATTTAGTCCCTAATTATTATATTTATTTCCACGAATGGTCCTTTGTTAACATTTCCGTTAAGAACGTGGATAAAATTGTATATTCATACTTCTCTCTCTCCTCAATTAAGCTTTCTTCATCTTCTCATACTCTTTTCCAAACTCGTCGCTGAGTTTGAAGCTCTTAAACCCAAAATTTAAATGATCATTCCTCCAGTTAGACAAATAATTGAGAGAAGAGTGATGATTTTGGTTTAGGGTTCAAAGCTAGAAACTCAGCGACGGGTTTGAGAAAGGAGTACAAGGGAGGAGAAAGCTTAATTGAGGAGAGAAAGGAGTGTGAATTTATAATTTTATCCACGTTTTAATAAAAATGTTAACAAAGGACCATTCGTAGAAATAAATATAATAATTGGGGACCAAATTAGTAATATTTGATATGTAGGGACTAAATATGTAAAACGAACTATAACTGAGGACCTTTTATGGAATTTACTAAAAAAACAATGACGTTTTTTTTTGGTTTAGAATATTCTCTCCTAAATTCGAGTACATTCTTTCATGGCCCCTTAAAAAAGGCTTGCAGACTCCCTCTTCTTCCTCAGCTCCCACATTGCAGATACTAATAGAAATCTCAATCATGTTTGGTAATAATGGTAGTAGAACGAAGAGAGTTACTAACCTGCTTGACGATCGGGCCAAGGCTCGGCTAGTCGGCCTTGACCTTGACGATTACGGTTGCGCAAGCTGCGGAAGCGACCACAGCGCCCAGGCAGACGACGACGTTTCATTGTCGAGCTTTTCCGAAATTGTCTTCGACTCGTCGGAGCACGACGCCGGCGATAATCCGCCGCCCGATTGCGATTCCGAGAGCGGCGTTCAACTTCGCGTTTCCGATGACGAAGAATTGGAGCCGATGATTCGCGGCCGCGCCGACGCGTTCTGCAATCTCCTGGAGTCTCATGTCTCGGATGCCGTGGAATTTCTGTCCGGATTGAGTTTGAGCAAGCCGGCTCTCCGCCGCCGCGTTGCCGCTTATCTGAGGGATTTAGGTTACAACGCCGCCGTGTGTAAGACCAGATGGGAGAGGAGCGACGGAATCACCGCCGGCGGCCACGAATTCTTAGACGTTCTCAGATCCGATTCTGCGCGGTACCTAATCGACCTCGAATTCTCGTCCCAATTCGAGATAGCGCGGCCGACAAATCAATTCCAGCTTCTGGTCCGGTCATTGCCCGGAATTTTCGTAGGGAGAAGCGAGGAGCTGAAGAAGATGCTGAGATTGATGAGCGAGGCGGCGAGGCGGTCGTTGGAAGCCAGAGGCCTGCATCTACCGCCGTGGAGGAAGCACCGGTTTATGGTGAACAAGTGGCTGGGCTCATACAGGCGGACCACGAACTTCGCGCCGGCTTCCATGGAAACTTCACCTCCATTAGAGCAGAGCTTAGCCGTCAAGTGCCGCTCCGTTGGCTTCGATGCTGCTGCTGCTGCTAGCGGCTGTTTTCTGTTTCCCGTCGTAACTGGAACCAGATGAACAAGAAATTTAAGAAATGTAAATTCAAAATGGGGGAGGAGGGAAGGGTATGTCATCGATAAATAATGGGAAATGGTGATTCTTGGGTGCACGGCACATTAATCTGGTCCCCGAAAAATGGCTAAATAAACTCTAATTCTTACCTTACTTTTAATTCCTCCTTCTTACGTGCCATATATCTGTGTGTGTGGGGGTGTGTTTGATGAGTTTTATAAAATTTGAAAAAAACGATATGAGTTTTGCAATATGAAACGAATTTATTTGGAAAGATTTAAAATTTTAATTTAATTAATGATAAGCGGGGGTAACCGACAACGGGGCTGGTTGGCAGTGACAATGGTAGCCGGTGACGGAGAATGATCATTGATTGAAAAATATATCAAACAACCATATTAATATCTTTTAAATTTGGAAGATATCAAAACCTTCCATTTAAAGGATTTATGATATCTGAAGATATCGAATTCGATATCTTTTTTTATTTCACCAAACACTTAAAAAGAATTCTGATTTCTGGAGAAATTAAAATTGTTATCTTGTTTGCTCACCAAACAAATCCTAAAAGGTAAAGTTAAAATTGAGATCCTCAAACATAACAATTATCTCAAAAATTTGTTCATCCTTTTAAGAAGAAAATTGAATAGACTTTATCATTTTTCTTTTTCTTTCAAACCACAACCGCACAAATCTTTTTTCACTTCGAATAACTTAAATCTCATTTTTAGAGTGGTTTTTATTTATAAATTGTATATAAAAAATTCAAATTAGATCATTTAAAATTACATTAATATTTCTACAAAACAAGATACGACATGCATATTTATTTTATAAAACAGTCAATGAAAATTTATGTAGAACCATGACTTATCGAGAAGTCATAATTGTAATTAAATAGATTGATTTGGATGTGGGTATTAAAAACTGTATCATGTCAAAGACAGGAAAATTTTTGAACAAATGAAGTATCACTATTTCATATCTAGTACTCCAACGAATATAATTTATACTCGCGGGAAATTTAAAATGAAAGAAGTGGAAAGTAAAGAGTGTAGAGCAAGGCACACCGAATTTATACTGATTCATCACAACTTGTGGCTAATCCAGTCCAATGAGAGACTCTCTCGAAGGTCCTACTAACTCCGTTAAGTTTAAAGTTGCTTAACAAACTGATACAACTTGAGAACTTGAGTCACACAAGCCTCAACGACGCTTGCTCAGAGATACCGCACTCCATGACTTCAACCGAAGGAACTCTTCCTTCGTAACTAACAACGGAACAATCCTACATTCAAGTGTATACGACACTTAAGCACTCAAGAACAAGATCATCCTTAAGAGTAGATACTAATGTTGAAAGGCCAAATAGCTTCAGTACCCTTTATAGTTTGGAAAATTGGCACCAATACCCCCTATATTTGCGAAATTTATTTCTAAAGTCCCCGTATTTTCAAAATGTTACACCCACACTCCCTCCGATCATTTTCCGGTCATTTTCCAGCAAAGACGGGGCGTTAGTTCCTATTTTCTAAACCATAGGGGGCGCAAGTGCTTATTTTTTATTTTTTATTTATTACTTTGTTTTTTCCCCTTTTTTTTTAACTTTTTTATCACTTTGTTTCCTTTTCCTAGAATTTTTTTTAAAAATTTGTTTTATATTTTTTTATATATATCTTTTAAAAAATAAAATTTTCTGTGTTTGAAATAAAAATAAAAAGTTAACACATAGTCCATCTATCTAAATTAAACATTTTAACTTTTTGTTTTCTAGAGTAATGTTTTTGCTAAGTTCAAAAAGCAAATCATAAATAAAAATATGAAATTCCAAAAGTAAAAATTTGAAACATCTAAAAAAGAGTCTTGTACAAAAAAGAATTTTCAGAATGCCTAAAAAAGTCCTTGGTACCGTCGTGGTACCTTGATTTCGTTTAGACGATGCGGGGTACCATCTAGCACAAAGTCTATCTCTTACAGTAGATGCTAACAGTAGATGGGTACCGTCTCTGGCGGTAGGGCCTATTGTCCACCCTATACCTAGGTACCGGATGGGTGTAAGTCTCGTCAGTGGAAAATAGCCTGTGGTGGTAGCACGATACCTGTTCAGCACCAGATTATTCCAAAATGTTCATAGACGATCAATTTCTTACACCTCGGCTCAAAACATGCATTAAATAGTCCTAATTTATATTCTAAACTAACATGATCAACTCCCTAAAGATAGAAGCCTTGAATCAATGCTAATTCATGAACTAACGCAAGTAGGATTCACATACATCAACCATAACGATTCTAGGAACGTGAACTTCAAACCCATAAATGTAACCTAGCGTTAGATGTCCATGTACTTACCTCGATTACAACGAATAAAACTACTAGATGATATCAATGAACGAGGTATCAAACGACGTGGCTTTCTTCTTTCTTCCTTCTTCTTCTTCTTCTTTCTTATTTCCTCTTCTTTCTTTTCCCTGTTCCGTTGCTGCTATTCTTCGACTGAGAGAGAGACTAGAGCGGCAGAGAAACGTGATGCTACATGAGTATGGGATGCGGCTAAGAGGGTTAACATGTACATGAGGTGGTATTTATAGATTTGGGATTTTGGGCTCCGTAATTAATTAACGTACATGGGCCAAAACGCACTTTTCGGGCTCACGAGCTCTAAATCCATTTGCACCATTGGACTCATTCCGTCGAATCCTACACAACGATATAAATTATTTGTCGGGCCCACGAGTTCGTCTTAGTAATTAATTATTTTTAATTAATTAATCCTTATAGGTGGGGTTACGGGGTGTTACAAATTTACAATGAATTTGTACATATAATGTTATTGTATAATCATTATATATAAATACCTTTTATAAGTCATTGTTGGAATAACTGAAAGGAATAGGAAGGAACTGGAAGGAGTTGGGAGAAATTGGAAAGAGTTTGAAGGAGTTGGAAGTTAGTTTTTCCAATCCAAAAGAACAAGATCTTAATGGGTGAACCAAGGATCCTCTCGTTCAATGTCTTGGAGTATTGTTAAAAACAAAGAATGAATCATTCGAAAACGATTATTAAAATCTTTCAATGTGTAAACACACGGGGTGTTAAACTAGTCATTGAGTAGTGCTTCGTAAGCAGCCCCCTGGTCAAGGTGTAAATGCTCACATCTGGTACTGGTTAAGCACCCTGATGATTCCTCTTCTTCTTGTTGACACTGCTAATAACATTCAGTTGAAAAAGCACAAAACACGAATGCATTTTCCTCATCGCTAGATGAAGATGGTGGTGCCGTTTTTTATAAAAATAGATGGTATTTATAATTGAAAATGAAAAAAAATTAAATGTAGCCAATGACTAGTTTTTTTAAAAAGTGGACCATTTAAGGGGGCCTGCCCTATTTTTTCTTCTTTCTTAGCGTGTCAAACGTTTAATGCAGCGTACATGATGTTGCTTTAACTGTAAGGGGAATAGTGTTTAACGCCTTAAAAACGTTAAAACCGGTTTGACGGGGGAGGGGGTCACATATCTTCCTAGTGGCCTTAGAAACTCCTTGATACTTTAACAAGAACTTATGGGAGCGCATGGGGTTGGAGATGTTCCGTACGTGGGGGATGGGGAATGATGCAAACAGCAGGGATGTGAGCATGGATTTGTTGAATGTGTGGATAAGATAATGTGTGGGTGTGGACGAAGGAGAAAAGACAACAACAACAACAACCCAGTGGAATCCCACATCAGTAGGGTCTAGGGAGGGTGTGTGTACGCAGACCTTGCCCCTACTCGGAAGTAGGGAGGCTGTTTCCAATAGACCCCCGGCTCCACCTGCACAAAAATATGGAAGAGAACACAGTATAGCACAGATAAGGCACCAAGTATAAGCAACAAGTACCAACAATAGCCAAAGATTCCCAACAAATACAACACACTATAAAACAACCTCTACAACACCGAGCTCCTATCCAGCTACTCTAATCCTAGTTCTCCAAAGGTTCCTATCTAGGGCCATATCCTCAGTCAGGTCGAGAAGTCCTAAATCCTGTCTTATCACCTCCTCCCAATTCTTCTTAGGTCTACCCCTTCCCCTACTTCCCCCGATAACCGTAATCCTCTCGCATCTCCGTACAGGGGCGTCAGCATCCCGCCGTCTCACATGGCCAAGCC